CAGCCAATTTTTTTATATTCAAAATGAATACATAATAGTTTTAATTAAACCTTAAAAATGAATGGGTGTATACTAAATTTAAATACCATCCTAAAAACTAAACATTTTTATAAAAACAATTTTGAATATTTGGTAAGTTCAACATAATAATGAATAAGATCTAAATGTTTAATAGATTGAATTATTTTACTTAATTTATGATTTTTATTAATATTCAAACTATTATCAATATAAGTATCAAAATTGTGGAACAATTAGTAACAATACGAAAACACTAAATCAGCACATTCTTCTTTTTGGAATTTTTGATTGTCGATTCATCATTGACTTCCATAATAATATATATACATATAATGCCACAAATGTATAGCGACTGAATATTATGGAAAATTAAATACATACTTGCATACTGATTTTAAATGGTAAGTTTAAAATGTTGAAGAGGTGAATAAATCTAACTCTCTTCATTTTAAAAATTAACCTTTTCTACAATAAATTTTATTAATTAATATAGATGGGGCATAATTCAGAAATTGTACAAAATTTGAAAATAACTTTGTTTTATTTTTTTTTTTTTGGTTTAATTAAAAAGGTTAATTACCCTACTTTTTATGTATTCGATATAAAAGTTGTAATTATTTATTTATAAAAATTTATTAATAAAATTCCAATAAGTAGAAAACATTTTGGAAATTATGCGAATCAAATTTCGAAAAATGCATTATTTTTCAATTGAAATTTAAATGTATTAATCAAAATTTTTTTCAAGCACATTCAAGCACTCTACATAATGTAACATTTATTATAATGGCAAATAAATATATAAGTTTCTCTTTAAAAAAATAGCTTTTAAATATTTTCTTAATAATTATATAGTTCCCTTTTATTTCAAAAAATTTTTATTAAATCACCATAGCCATTTTCATTTTCTACTTTATAATTTCCATTTTCTACACTTATGTATATTTTAATTTTTTTTTATAGATCAAAAGAAATTGCGATAATTTTTATGAAATTATATCAACTTTTTGAATATAATACAGTTTTTAATCAATTTATATATATATATATATATATATATGTGTATCTATGTACATGTCATTTGTGCTTATTAGTTTGATTTTAATTAATGCAATTGAATATTAAAGAGTAAATATTAATAATACTAATACTCTTAGTTAATCAACTCAATTTTTACGAAGCACCAGAAATTTATCAAAAATATTAAAATTTAATCATATGAAAAGTCAAAAAGTGAAAAATTTTTTTTTAACAACAGACAGTTAAAAGCCAAACTGGCCAACCAACAGTTTACACAAAAGTAAGTATTGTCAAAAACAAGAATTTTTAAGAAAATCTTACTTTGCTGATTAAAAAAAAATTATGATAGAGTATTTTTTCATATTTGTGATACATGTATGTACATACATACATTTTGTATATATACTATGTATCTAGTTAAAAAGAAGTTGTATAGCTTATTTATTGTTGACTTCTATGCAAAAGAATAAAAAAAAAGACAATGAAAATAATAAGAAAAAGTAACTATTGAAAAATGAATGAGAAGTAAAAAAAATTAGTTTAAAATTTATTTTTATATACATACTTATGCATGTATGTATGTATATACATGTATAATTTTAAAATTACCATCATACAAACATTATGTACTTGTATAGAACTATGATTTACAAAAAAAAAAACAAAATAAGTATGAAAAAGTACAACACATGCATATAAGTATGTACACACATTTACATATTTTCTAAACAACTTAATAATAATCCTAATCTTATAAGAAATATGTTTTAAGAATTACAAACTTCCATGTTAAAATTTTATTTCTGGTTTTATTTATTCCTATGATTTTGTTTTTTTTTTCGCTTATATGATTAATGACATGAAGGTCGAACGCAAACTGAATATTATTTTGTACCTTTTTCCTCCATTTCTTCTATACCATATACAACAATTCAATTTAACAAATTCAAAACTTTTATGTAGGTCGATATTATCTCTAGCTGTATATATCAGCTTGTCTTATTAATTCTCTTCCTCTCTGTACTTATACCAATTTTTTTTTTGCTGGTACACTCATAAACATAATTTCAACGATTTGTTTCTTCAATTTGGAGTTTTGTTTTTTTTTTTTATTTTTTATGTTGAAATTGAAAATTAAATATGGTGATTACAAGATTTATGAAGTAACAAAAATAAGGCCTTTTTTCACGATTTTGGAAAAAGAAAAAAAAAAGTAAAATAAAATGGAAACAAAAAAACAAATTAATATAAAAAAACATGGCGTTTCTTTTTTTTTTATTAGTCTCTAAAGTATAGTTATTTATGATCAAAATTTAATATTATTAGATAAAAAAAAATTTGTGATGCCGATAAAAAATTATGTTGAATACATTTAATGAGGGGCACTGATATTATAAAACTATTATAATAAGTTAGAATATTAAATATGATTTTAATGCGCTATATTGGAATCCCTTGATCTTTTAGGAAGTTGTGTTTTTCATTTTAAATGGTTATGGTGGCACGAACTCATATTAAAATTGGATTTTTATAGTAAAAGTTATCTAGTACTGCCACATTGCTACAAACAGGAAAACATGGCTCATTTGTCTATTTTTCAAAAATTGCTCCTCGTTTTCATCGTATTTAATTGTAAAAATACAGAAAAAAACTTTGAGTTTTCTTTTCTCAAAAGTTTTTTTGTATAAAATTTGAAAATTGGTAGCATAATCTTGAAACTAGTTCACAAAATTGTATTTAACACTTTGAAAATTGCTGATTCAATATTAATATTAGTCAAGATCTCACATAGTTTTAACATATAAAAAATTCGACTTCTTTGAAAGAAGTTACAGTAGTTTTATTTTACAAACAATATATTGAGCTTGAGTCAGTTGAATAACATTTCTTGAATGTTCTATTAAATTATAACCCTTTACATTATAATTAGTACGGTTGTAATTAGAATAAAATGTCAAACATTGCTGATTCCTAAAACTTTTATTGTAAATCAATCAAATCGGCCGGAATTTTTTGAAAAAAAAAAACTTAAACGATTTTAATGTTGAAATTTAATAATAAATCTTTTAAATATAGAAAAAGATTACAAAAATAACAAAAAAAAAAAACAAAAATAACAAAAAAAAAATAAAACATGGAAATGGAAAAAATTTTGAACTCAATTTTGAAATTTCTTTCTAAAAACATTCAAAAAAAAATAACATGATTTAAAAGTTTTCATTCTTTAGTTGTTGTTTTTTTTTTTTAAATAAACAAACAATTTGGCGGGCGGCATTTTTATTTAAAAAAGTGATGATATTCTTTCCCCCTTTTCTTCCGAATTTCTTCTTCCGATTTTTAATTACTTTGAAGAGTTTCTGAATCATTTGAATTCAATTAAAAAGAAATATTTTAAAATACTTTAAATTTAAATTCAATTAAATATTTTAACCTCAATTAGATCATCATTTTATAATTTAGGCATACGGCCATAAGTGTGTTCTTATAAAAATTAAATTAAAATTAATTAAATTATCAAATAGAATGTCAGTATTCCGGAACTTTTCAGAAAACTATTTGGATTTTTGGTCAGATCATGAAACATAACTGAGAGTTTAGGAAGAATTTGATTTTTCCGTACCTTAATTTAGAATAATTTTTATGAAGTTGTGTGTTTTACGACCTTTACAATATTAAGTACCTATATAAAGTTATATAGGATACACAATATTATTTATATATTATATATAAAATATAAGTGTATATTTTTGTTACTTTTTCATATTTGATTCAAGAGTAGACAGATACGGTAGCTAATAATAATAGTAGTGCAGGTAATAATTTTAATCTGCACATTGTATTGTGTAAGTACTCGTATTACTTTAGACATGAGCCCTTCAAAATTAAATACTTAACAAAATTTAAATAGAGCGAAAGAATTTCACAGAGCTCGAAGCCCTTATTCTTTTGTCCCTATAATTAATTTTTCAAAAGTTACCGAATTTTCTATTAATAATTTATAAAAGATACACGAACAAACAATTATATATATTTAAAACAACTCAAATTTGAACACATACGTTTGTAAGTAAATTTATAAGAAGTGGAAATGAAATTACATACTAAGTAACTGCAACATTAGCATTATTTCAGATTAAAATATCATTGTTGTAAGGAAAAATTTTTTAAAAATAAAAAAAAATATGCACTTCACAAGAAATATATCAATTGAAATAGGGCGCAACAAAAATACAATATCTATATACATACATGTAAAAAAAATTTACCTAAAATATTTGAAAACGCCACGTACAAAGTACAATCCAAAATTGTTAAAAGAAAATATTCTAAAGGGGGAAAGAGAAAATTTTTCCACAAATAAAACGAACAAAAAAAAAATTCAAAGGAATTTTTTATATTTTATACTGGAATAATTCAAAAATAGCGATAAAAATAGATTTTCTTAAAATGAGAGATGAGAATATTTTAAATTTTTTTATATTTATTAGATGTTTCGAAGCATATGTATATATATATTTAACCATATACATATATACATACATGTTGTATATCAAACAAAAAAATTTTCTTTATTTTAAAAAAAAAATTGAAAAATTTTTTGAATTAATTTAAAAAATAAACTCGGAAATAGTTTAGATATACTGAAAATGCTCGAAATGCAGATTTTATAATCTTCTAACGATAATAGTTAAAAGAAATATTCAATTAAGCTAGTAACAAACTGTCGGAAATTACTTTATGCATTTAAGTATAATAATTTTTCTTTATCTAACATAAATACTCCAATCTTCCATCATAAATTGATGAGTGAAATCCGAAAAGGCCAATAATTGACCCAAAAAAGTCTAATATTTAAAATTGTTATTGCTATAAACAATTGCAACCTAAAGCATGTTAATAATTTAAAAATAACCAGGAAATACATAAAAATATTTAAAAATGAATTAATACAACATTACCAATGTAAGCAGTGAATTCCAATTTAATACTACAGATTTTCTCACAATCTATAATCTTAATTAGATATTTATTTATTTATTCTTATATTATTTATTTTTATTTCTTTTTATTTCTATACTTTCTTCAATTTTACCACTTATTTATGTAAATAAAGCAGTAACCAAACACAATCACTATTATAATTTTAAAGAATTAATGTACTTATATTTACATAAGACTATACCTATGTATGTATGTACATAAGTAAGTATATTATTATGTTTGCATTTGAAATTTCAAGATTAAGTACATTAAATCAAATATTAATGTAATCTATTTTCTCACGTTCTTCACACAATAACTAATTTTTCTAAATTTATAATTAAATTTCTAGAAAAAAAATTTTTTACGCACACAAACACGACTTTTTCGTATATTAAAAAAATTTCAGATTCTAATATAATTTTTAATTTATAGCACAAACTATTGAATATAATAAAGAAAATTAATTAGTTTTTTTTTTTTTAATTAATTAAACTATAAATTAAACTATAAATAGTAAATTTTGTATCGTTTTTAATAATTTTATAAGTAGCTTTATGTATATGTATATCTTTTATTTCTTTTATCCGAATACGTAACCTCAAAATCTTGTCATTGACATTATAAATTTTATATTTATATAAAAGGAATAACCGGGAGCGCACTTTTAACAATAAACTAAATTCAATTCAGCTTCAATAATATAAAATGATAAACTGAATTCAACGTATATAATTAAAAGAAAAATTTCCGCTTCTATATTAGAAAATATTTTCAAGGTTTTTTTTTTTCAATACTTTTAAAACACAAAAAATTATTTTTTAAATATAAATTGGGAATAACAGAAGGCAAAAAGAGAGGTACGTGTACGTAAATAAATGAAAATCTTAACAAAAAATAAAAAAAATTTCTTTTCCAATCCAAAAACAACGTCAGTTTTAAAAAACAAGAGAGCGTGTATGATGAGAGAAAAATAACGAAAATTAAGAAAAAAAACGCATTTCCTAAACATTTTATTTTACGAAAAAAAATAAGAAATAAAAATTTTCCGAATTGAAACAAAAAAAATATTAAATATTTTGTATTAGAAAATTTTATAGCAACAACAAAAATTATGAATGAAATAAAGAAAAACAATAATTTATTTTTGTATATATTGGTTTCGTGTTGTTCTTTAAAGAGAAATTGAGATAAACCATTGAGGAAAAATTCTCTGATCTACAATAACTAGATATTATCGCACTCTTGATATAATCATGAGGAGATTATCGCGCAACTAAAGAATTTTAAACGCAATTTTCATTTTCTTTTTATTTTCGTACAAAGATGTATACATACATACATAACGTATGACAACCTATAACAAAACTAACATTAATTGTATAAAAGTATCTTATGTATTCATGCATAGAAAGTATAAATTAAAAATCAATGTGGTAGTACCTACATTTATGTATAATCAGGGACGTATTATACCTACGGCATGCAACTTCCCTGAAAACAAAACAAAAAATTTTCTCTTTTTTTTTTATCAAAAATTTCCAAAATAATAATTTTTTATTTTTTGCTAAGAAAACACAAGTGAATATTCTCGATATTCTAAAAATACACAAGATTATTAAAATTTTTTCATTTTAAAGTTAAATTAAAATTTCAACATATGAATCCATTTTTTGCCTTTTGTCTTCTGTATACACATATTGTATATATAGATGCGTACATATATATGTACGTCACTGTTAAATGACAATGATGATAAATTTAAAATTGAATTTCACAATTAATTTTTATACATTTCAGTGAGGTAAGAAAAATAAACTTTACAGTTGCAGTTAACTATGTTACGATATTCAGAATGCAACTGGCAAGTATATAAAATAATTAACACTTTCTAATAATTTTGACACAAATTTTAAAGTTACATAGAATAAAATCTATCTTAAAAATATTTTTAATAAATTTGCAGTAATAGAAATTTCATATTACCTACACATAAAATGTAAATGAAACAAATTCGTATTGTGTAAAAAGCAAAAACCCCTGCACCGTCACTGAAACACATTGAATAATCTACATCCATACAAATGTATGCACATGGAATATAAATAGAAATGATGACGTTTTTCTATTGAATTTATGTTTGAAATTAACATATGCATATTTTTTTTTAAATAAATTAATTTTGAAATGTAAAGATAAATTAATTATGTGTCGGACATGATTTTAATAAAATTCTTTAAATTTTATTTATATTATTTTTTAAACATTTTTATAACATCGTTATATTATAAAAAAAAAATCCAAATACACTTAAGACTCATTAATTTTCTTCAAATTTTAACAATTCATATGTGTACCCATTATATTATGTGAATTATACAGCACATATGCACGTATATACATAAAAATTGTATAATCCAATGAGACAAAATATTTAGGTACTTACATATCTTATTACATAAGGTTTTTAATGATATATTAAAAAAAATCAAAAAAAAAAAATTTTTATGAAAATTACGTCAAAAGGTTGCTTTAAATTTTTTTTATAAATTTATTTTTGTAATCTTCTTCGCAGTTTTAAGATTATTTGTAACAATCAATCAAAATTATTAGCAATCAAATTATTTTAATAATTTGATAGTAAAGAGTGTTGTTTCAAATAAGCAAAAACGCAGGCTGATTAATGAAATTAATAAAATTTTACTGAGGCTGAAAACGAAATTTCAAAGATTTCTATCTTTTCGAATAACGTTAATAATAAGTATTCATTTCTTATTGTCCATATAAAACATGAGATTGAAAATTCTAATTTTTTTAAGCTCCTATCAATCGAATTCATAAATATACACGTATACAATATTTATGTATTCGATTGTCTTAACAAATCTATAGAATATATTTATCTGAATTTTGAAAAATTAAATATTTTAGTTTTAAAAGTTCATTATTTATTTTTAATTTATTAGCAAAATTAATTAAAAATTATTATTTTTAAAACAAAATTATTAATTACTAATAAGTATTCAAAACCATTTACCACTTGCGAATTTATTTGCTTCCACATTTATTTATATAAGTATATTAATACTTGTATTTCTTAAGTAAAATAAAATTAGATCATGTTTATATACACAAATAATTTTTTTTTTCAATTTTAATTTAAAAAATAGACAAACAAATAGGCTCAATCACATCCCGTGAAAATACATATGTACATGTACATATATATTAAAGTATCTTATACTTATAATACAAAAATGTTTTTTATTGTTTTCTCACTTCTTAATAGGCTAAATTAAGAAATTGACTCAATTAATAAAAAATGACCTTAATTTTGAGTTCTAATATATTTCTAAATATCTCACATACCAAATTAATAATAAAGATAAATATAATTTCAAAATACTAACGTATTTTTATTGGGTAAAAGAAGTTCTAAATCTTTATGACCCATAATCAAATCGAATTTCAAAATTTATTGAACAATTAAGAGAAAAAAATTGTAAAATAATAAAAGAGCGGTTTACTGATAAACTGCATTATCTATTGCAGCTTATATTTATTAGCTTACGTTACGTCATATCTTCTTACACATTACATTACATTAAACATTGCGTTCATGTAACGTTACATATTAACTTGTGTTATGCATTACACCGTGTAACACATTACATTATGTTATGTAATACGAAGAGCGACACTTTACGTTACGTTACATTACGTCATGTTACATTGTTATACATTTGCGGTAAGTTTCATTACTTAACACGTTCGCTACCGGAGCGTGAGAAGAAAAGGTTGCACCACAGACCATGGAAATTTTTCTTATGAAATGACTTTAAATGGCATTGGATTTTTTAATATTATATTTATAGCATTAGAATAAAAAAAAATGTTATTATCTTCAGGAAAAGAACACTTTGCAGTTATTTCATTATTCTATAACCTATTAAATCTGTTTTTGCCACAAAAATAGTGCAATACCGTAGCAAAAAGTTATAAGATAGTCACGGCACACATTTGCGACGACGGGCTCAAAAGCAAGAACCGATACGTCGCATATATGCGACCCTGGTAGTGAACGTGTTAAAGTTGCGTTATGCAATACGTTATGCAATATACACAAAAAGTGACTGAACTACAATAAATTATAACAAAGGTTTTTGAAAATAAAATATAATAGATTTTATATTCAAAATGCAAATCATTGTTCTTTAGATAAATTCTTACATTTTATTTAATACGAATTCGAATTTTTGCAATTGGTTCAACATATTATAATAGCTAACAAATATAATAATACTTAAATAGTTAAAAATTAACATAATTATAAAAAATTCACACTACGGGCAGCTTGAATGTTCATTATCATGATAATTTACATTTAAAAAATATATTTTTACTTTCTGCAAAGGTCGCCATCTGATCAAATGATCAATGATTTTTAACAATAACGAAAAATATTATTTTATAAGAATAGCTTTTATGGAAACAGAAAAGATCAGTGAAAGAAAATAAAAAAAAAAATATTATATTTTTAAAGATTTGAATTTTAATAAGAGAAATTTCACGATTTGAATTTTTAATTTGTAATATTCTATAGAATTTTAAGTAAAATTATTTTAATGAGAATAAATATGAAATAAAAATTTGCAAAACTTTTGTGTTGTACACGTATAATAAAAGAATATTAATAGAAATTTATAATAATTATTATAATGACGTTATTTTAAAATGACTAAATACATTTAAAAGCAAATACACTTAAATAGAAACAACTTATATTTTCCATATATAAAAAATTTATGCACAACTAAATCTGGTTATTAAACTTTTAATTAAATTCAAGTATATATGTTTGAACATATTCATATACATATACAGAATGATTCAGTAATCAGTGACATAACATATACCACTATTTAGGGCGTCAAAAATGAGTAAAATTTTTGTGCAGAATTAGGTTTCACGAAAAAAATTTCACGTAATTTCTACTTGCTCAAGCTTTTATGCCCTTCCGAAAGAGATGGAAGCTTCAAATGAACAATTTCTGAAAGGTTTAATAAAGGGCTCAGATACTTGTTTTAGTATTTTATGTACTTTCGGAATACCAAGTATTC